GAATCTAAAGGTCCCATTTAAGGGCATCTGAGAACAGAAAACTGCTGCTGCTAATGATGATGGTGATAATGGTGATGACAGCATCTAAGAGTTGACATTTACCATTTTCTACACAAGACAAACCGTTCAAAGTTATTCACATATATATTGTTATGTAATCCTCATTTAAGGGGAAAGGTCTCCATGCAGTGGAGAGTTCTGAACAGAACCCTGAGGAAAGAGTCGGAGAGCCAGAAAGGAGGGGAGGGGACTTGCCAAAGAAGGAAAACAAAACACACTTGTTGGCACTTTAACTTTATCCAATATACTCTGTCAGTTTTAACAACCACTCCTTTCTTATTCGGTCTCAGACCAAATAACTAAGACTACACCTGTCCTTCTAAAACCAAGAGCCAGACTCTCACTGGAGGCTCAAACAATATTTGTAGATAACGATAATGACACGCTTTTAGAGCCCAACAAACCTGAGTTCAAGTCACAGTCTGAGGCTCTTAATAGTTCTTAATCGTTAGTAGTTGACCTTGGGCAAATTATTTTTTAACCCTTCTGAATGCTGTCTTTACCATTCTCACAAAGGAGAATGAGCTAAAAAAACTATCAAAATGTCCTAAGTATCCACTTGCCCACCTCTCACAAACCCACTCTCTCCTTGCCAGAAAGCTCCACAGAAAGCTAAATAATCCCTCTCCCAAAAAAACAAAAACAAATAATCCTCATCACACACCTACCCTCGTCTTAGAAATCAGGAGAACTCAGCATGACCCACCAACAGGAACTAAGATTGCTACTGCGACACTGTGCCCCTTTCTCACCCTCCAAATGTGAGAGGAGTCACAAACAGAAGCTGTGCCCTGCTCCCTTCCGTAAAGAAAGCCCAGCCTGACTCTGGCCTCAAACTGCACCAAGCACTCCTGAGGATGCAGAGGATGTCTCGAATTTACCCAGCCCTCACAAGGTGATAACAGCTACCATCTACCAGGCACACAAAAGATCCAATTTGAAACTGAGGATTTCAAAACAAAGTATCGAAATAGCGTCAGCATGGTCTCCGTGAGGTGGGTCATTTACCAACTCTCTGACTCCTTTTCACTCTCAGGAACATCGCAGGATCCATGATATTGGAAAAAATGGAGGTATGAACAATACAAACTAACAAACAGCACAACATTCCCCTAAGTACTCTGGCTCTGGAACATGTGACATTCACAGAGGTTGTCTCTCCAGCTCTGGGTCACCCAGAGCAGTGCAGCCTCATCTACTCACTTGCAGCTTGGGCTTGGCTAGAAAGACCCCATCACGGTGCCCATGGCGTGCAACCGTCCAGCTGCACAGGGCCCCCACAGGTAGAAGGGCCCCACACTTGGTTGTTGTTGCTGTCTTGAAATTCTTGACAATTAATCATTATTAATAATTCTTAACAAGGAGCCCTGCATTTTCATTTATATTGGGTCCCATAAATTACGTAGCTGCTCTGGTACTGCCTGACTCAGAAGAGGGGTTCAATTCACAGCAGCAACTTGTCAGCTGTGGGGGCAGCTGACACACCAGGTGGCTTAGGGACAGAACTAACAACTAGTTAGAAAACAGACTAGTTTTCATCCTTGAGAAGGAAGGACTTGACCCCACACTACTCCCTCAAAAACAAAAACAAAGTGGTGATTGCAATTCCATTTGAAAGATGGAATAATTAAGCCAATTAAGCCTAACTTCCGCTGGTTCTATTACCCCAGAGGGGGAAGCCATCGGGTGCTCATTTAGGGAGACACTAGGTGGTAGTGCTGTTAGTTCCAGCCACCCAAGGAGGGTTGGGTTGTGAGGCAGCGCACAGCAACCACTTCCAGCATAAAGGAAGAAGCACAAGGAGGCACACTCACATCAAGGAGTCAGTCACCCTAAGTAGAAAACGCAGGACATGAACGAAGGTCAACACCCAGGGTCAACCAAAAATTCAGTGAGGAGAAGCACTTCCGTGTGTGTTTCACATAAAAACTGAGCATCTAAGATTGCTTTTTTAAAAATTAGAGACTTTTTTAAGAAGTAACAAACCACTTCTAAATTCTTTATTCTGGTTAGGACAATTCTTCACAGGAAACCAAAACTCTTATTCTAACACTTAAAGAAGTAAAACTGCTATAACTGCTTTCAATTCTTTAGTTTATCTAAAGATTTCAACAAATGGTGGGGGCACGAAGTGCAGACACTCCCCCCGCTGCTGCAAATGCCCCGAACACCCCAACCCCCAAGGAAGGCAGAGCCAGGGCTCCCTGTTATGCCCGCAATTCCAGAGAGGAATTTCAAAGGTCAGGTCTCTAGCACCATCAGGAAACTTGGCTAACAACTTGAGAGAGAAAAGCCCCTGACTCTGGAAATCTAGGGCCAAAAACAGCAAACTCAATCAGGTAAAAGTCAACCAAGTTAATCGCAATGAAGCCATTCAAATTAGCTTTTCTTTCCAATGGTTCTAAAAAACAGACACTTTAGACAGGGTCCCATTAATTACCTGCCATATTCCAAAAGTGTAGCATGGATTCGAGATTCTTCATCAAGCAGCTCCTCTTGGCATTTGTATTTCCGACGGGGCTTGTAAACATCCTAAGAAGTGGAGGAGACAGGGCAGGTACTGCGTGTGAGAAGTCTCTCCTCCTGAGCTGGCTGCCAGATGCGTCCAGTCAGGCAGGGAGCGAGTCCTTCCCCATCATGGCGAGCGTGCAGCTCTCCTGCGGGTCCACAGGGCGCACTCAGGGTCACTGCCTTCAAGGAGTCTGCTCCTTTGACTTCCGTACAGGTAGAAGTATTTCCACCCAATCTATTGTGTGCCAACTTTGTTTTAACTTAGCGGGGTTTTATGGTCCTATGACATTTTCATATTTTATGTAGTCAAAGTTATTAATCATTTTATATCTTACTTCCTATCCTAGGGATTGTGAAAAAAATTCTGGTATCTTACTTTTGTAATTTAGATTTAGCTCTTTCATCCATCCAGGTTTTCTTTTTTTTGGTACAGTGAAAGGTAGGGATATTTTTTCCTGAATGGAAAATTAAGAATCCCAGCATTATCAATGTAATAGTCATTCTTCCCTGATTTGAAATGGCATGCATATTTAACATAGGCCAATATTATCCTCTTCAATTGCTCTTGCTTTATGAGTCTCTATCATGTCTCCACTGTCCTTTTTCAAACTTCCTGACTATTCTTACACATTTTCTCTTCCAGATGAATCATAGTATCAGCTTGTCAAGTTCATTATGGAAAACTATTGTTTTGATTAGTATCACCTCAAATTTATAGGTTTCTTCGGGAAGAACCAACATCTTTATAATATTGAGTGTTGCACTGAGAAACAAGGTTTCTCTCTCTATTCAAATCTTTTTTATTCCTCAATAAAATTTTCCAGAAAAAATACAAATTTTGCACAGTCACTACATAGCCAGACCTTTTCACCACCCAGAGTGGCAAACCAGTTCAACAATCACAGACATATATATGTTAACCCAGAATCCTTACAAAAAAGTCCTGAAATGGCAAAGGAGATGTCAATTCTTAGGCTCTAACACAGGAGAAGGAGAGTGGATACAAATCCTTCAGAGATACATATCTTTTTTCATAAAAGTGTTTCAGGTTTATCCTCAAAAAGATGTATGAAAACATAAAATGCGCTATAAATTTTCACTGACGTTTTAAATTACTAGAGTGTGATTTAGTTATAAATGCAGAAGAAAATATAGATCTATTTTGTGTAGGACACCTTCTGAAACTATATATCTCTCTATATATCTACATATACACATGTCTTTTATATATATATCTTTTCTCTTTCTCTCTCTCCCTATCTTCTAAAGAAAGCATACGGCATGTACCAGGTGCTCAATTAATGTTGGTCTTCACCTCCAGATAACCTGGTTTGTCATTCTACCCCAAATAAATGTCCTTGTTGACTGCCAAGCTAGCAGTCAAATAATACCTTAGTAATATTTTCTCAAGGCTCTGGGTACAAATAGGCAGCTGTTTACACAACCAAGGTATTCCATTTGTTTCTGGACCTTTTCTTCTCCACCACCAGAGTTCAACACATCTAATCTTTACCCAGACAACACCAAGACAAGTGTTCCTGTTAGGCTTCTCCAGATAGTGGCATTTTTATTCTAATTAGAATTGTTCCCCCCTTGATAATTCTAGTTAATGTTATTATGAACAGTTTCAAACATACAGAAAAACATTTGTTCTACAACACATACTACAGAATCTCAACAATTTTGTAGAAAAGGAATGGAAAAGAGTCTGGGATGATGCTGAAGGTTGTTCTTATAATTGCTGCCACAAACATTCCCTAGTTTGCTGCTAGTGTCTACATGAATAGGAAACTATAAATAACATAAAACAAATTTATAGGGAAAGGAAAATATAATTAACCCATATGATGTCACTTACTGTGTATGGTTTCATTTCCATGAGCTCGGCTACTGTAGCAGTGCCATATAATTGAGCTTAACTGCTATCTCCCTTAGTTACCACAGTCAATGACCTGAGACAGGAAACTGGATTCTTCCAAAGAAGACTGACTCCAAAACGAGAGCATACTGACACCAACAGTTACAAAGACCTTCCATTCTGGCAAACAATGACAACGTTGGCCTTTATGTAATTACTCCTTATACTTTAAAGCACCCCATATGCACCTCACCTTTTGCATTTTATAATTACTCTATGAAGTACAGGCAAGGCAGATGCTGTTACCTCCACTTCACTACTGAAGAAGCAGAGATTAAATAACTTGTCCAGGATCTCTAGAATAGTATCAAGCGTAGCCCTAGGTACCCTGGCTGCCAGTCCCAAGGATTTTCCACTACACAAACTTGCCTCTGGTGGGCATTCTAGTCCCCCACCAGCCATTTCCGCTGAGCCCCCTCACAAGACTCACTGCACAAGGTGAGGCTGCCACATGGATCGTTACAATGGTTTGCTTAGGGACCTAAATGTTATAGAGGTTTCCAGGCCAACTGTAAAAGAACTACTGCCGAGTCACCCCTCGAAGCAATAGGAGTCAGGAACACTGATGTCTAGTCCCATCTCTGCCACTAACTAGCTCTATGACCTTGGGAAAGGCAGCTCCTCTCATTGGGCCTATTTCTTCATCTGTAAAATGAAGGTTGGACTAACAGATCTTGAAGGATACTCCCAGTCTCTCATTCTTCATGTTCTTTTGATCCTGCAAAGATACTGATGTGGTAACATAATTCCATCAATAATTTAAAGTCTGTGATTAATTTAAAAAATGCTTTACACTTGATTGTGTTTTTAAAAAAGAAACAGAATCAACTTATCTTTTGCCATCGATAGTGGGAGCAATAGTAATGGCAAGCATTTATTGAATGCTGGGTGTGTGCCAGGTGTATACTGCTCTCTATGTGCTGCTCATTTGATCCTCACACCTACGAGGGTAGCTATCCTTGTTTTCCTTGTACAGATGATGAAACAGGCACAGAGAGGTTAGACAGCTTGCCCGTGGGGACAAAGGTGGTAAATGATAGAGGCAGGATCACTCCAGAACTGGGACTCTGCAAGGTGTTTGATACCCCAACTTTGACCACACGTCATGGTGGGTTCTGATCATTTGTCTCAGTAGATGCTAAAGGACACATGCATGGGATTAAAAAATTAAGGGGAGTCCTTTGTAAAGCAGAGATTCGTGCACTGTGAGAGTCACACATCTCTATTTAGCAGGTTCACCGGTGAGAGCAACTGCTCTGAATCACATCCAAACACCAGGGTGAGGGAGTAGCAGAGCACAGCACCATGGCAGTGTCTGCGGCAAAGCCCTGATTGCTGCCCCTCACAACTCCTTTATGACCTAAAGGAGCAGGCAGTGAAACAGTCACTACCAACTTGGCATCCTACACTCCAAAGCTCCAGTGGGCCAGACCACACCCCACCCGGCAGGAAGCCACACTCCTGAGTTGCCTCCACTGACCTTAACAGCTCACTGTCACAGGGCTCAACAGGCCAAACCCATAACAGACACGCTCAGCCCGTGAGCCCCGTGAACAAACTGGCTTCCACCTAAAGGGGCTCCACAGACGGTTCCACCACCAAGGGGCAAAAGTCCCTGAAAAGATTCCATGAGAAAAAGCTTATAAACTGAGACAAATACATTTGTTTGCTTTTTCATTCTCACATTAATAAAACAACAACAAATGAACAAAGCCCCTGGGGACTGAGCGAAGGAAATGATGAGAGATGGATGGACGGCGATCATTTCTGAAGAGAGGAACATGTCTATAGACAGCAAAGTTAGCTGGGGAGGCAGACTTCTCCAGACACCCCAAGCCTTAATTCTTTGCTCTTCTCTTTTCCATGAGCCCTGCAGGCATGTCTTCTGCTCTGAGGTCCAGCACAAGTCCCGCCTCGGGTCTCCTTGTGTCTGTACCAAACAGTAAACTTAGTAAATAAGAATCAGGTCACTGCATTATATATATGAGCCACAGATGGCTTCTGGATGTTGGCTCCTAGGTTTATTTCTTCACAGCAGTCTGAGACCTGTTGGCTCAAAAGCCTGCCAGTGCCAAACTCAAATTTTTACACAGCCAACTGTCTTAAACATGCCCCAAATAAGCAGACTCTTAGCCACTTACGGTCTGGGTACATTGCATACTCTGTGAAACTGCACCTAGCACATGCTAACCATGCAGGATAAGTCCTGGGGCTATAAAGAACCCAAGCCCTTCAGACACCTCTAACCCAGAGACCTCCCTTTGTGCTGCTGAGCAACATCACCTAGACACTGAAACTTCCTCTGTGATACCCCTGGGGGCGGTCCCTTCTTCCCTTCCCCTTCTGGATGGTGGCCCCTGTGCCTAAGCCTCCGGATGGCCACACGTCGTGAGAGACTCCCTCACCGCACATGCAAACCTGTCAAAGCACAGCCCAAATAAAGCTTGTGTGCGCTACTGCCACCTTGTGGTCCCCAAACCCCGAATCTCTTACTGGAATGTCCCTGCTTTTACTCCAGCTCCTGGAATGTGGTCTGGCACACAGTGAGTGCTCAATTACTATTACTGAATGGGAGCCTGGCCCCATGGCCGAACAGTTAAGTTCGCGTGCTCTGCTTCGGTGGCCCAGGTTTTGCTGGTTCAGGTCTGGGGCACGGCCCTAGCACTGCTCATCAAGCCGTGCTGAGGCGGCGTCCACACAGCAGAGCCAGAATGACCTACAACTAGAATGTACAACTATGTACTGGGGGCTTTGGCGAGAAGAAGAAGAAGAAAAGACTGGCAACAGATGTTAGCTCAGATGCCAATCTTAAAACATATATATTATTGAATGAATACATGGGGTCAGACAGATAAGGTTTTAGCCCCTGCTCCAATACTCACTACCTGTCTGATTTAGGGCGAGTTATTTTAACCTCTGGTTTTCTATCTGTAAAACAGGTATAAGTAAAGTTATTGTGAGGATTAATCAATCAATATATTTAACGGTATCTGACAAATAATAAAGGATAAGACATATATTTTTTGCATATTTTTATCAGACATCTGCTGAATGAAGAGGCCCTCCTCACAGAATGCCCTACGGAAGAACACAGTGGAGAGTA